ATGTCTTTTTCCGCACGCAAACACGCAGAAAGTCAAAGTCATTTTTTTTTTTCTTAAAGAACCAACACGATAATTTATGCAAGCGTCGGAAACTTGTTTGTGCACTGGTGCTCACACGGCCCCCCATGGCATGTCTTCTCGCATTTTCTTCCACAGCATGCCAATTGTTTACCGCACTTCTTTCCGCATGAAATGGAATGCCTAAAGCAGGGCAAAAAGTATGGCATCACCTTGTTATGTGATGCGCACCTCTTTTCCACAGGAACCACGCAATCCGGGCACTTCTCCTCAATGTGACATGGGTGTTTCGGCGGATGGCCGCAAGCTCGAGGGATGGCACACTCATGACTGCAATTTGGAGGTTTTGTACCGCAGGGCACTGGAGGCTCAACCCACGTGCGTCGACAACGGCAGTACAGTCTCTGGTAAGATGCGACACTACACGGAGGGCACGGTCCCTTGTGACAAAGTTGACCACAAGAGTGCATCCGACACTGCAAACGTTTTGTGCAAATTTGGTAGCATATGTGATCTTCATTGGAGCAGCAGACCTCTTTGCATACATGTTTGCCACATGACAACTGCTTTCTACAGGGCTTTTGGCATTTGGGAGGATAGCAAAGGGTCACCTTATTCACATTAATGTTTGCCTTTACGGCAGCCTCTTGCCATTGCGCTGGAGGCAAGTAATGATAAAAGCAAGGATATGTGACTTCGCAAGAGCCACATGCACACCTGGACGTGATTAGCTTAGTACAGGGCGGGCATACAGGATTGTCATGACAGACAAAAGAGCATGTATGGTTGCACGGAAGTGGTGCCCCGCAGACGAGTCCGCAGGAGGGAAGTGGATCCAAACAGGACGTTCTTGGTAAATCAAGCAGTTGGTTTATACGCACCTTGCCACAGGGACAGAATATCTGTCGCTCAGGCGTCCGTACACAAGGTTGGCAAGGTCCTTCGTGACATTTGAACTGACAGGTGTGACTGCCGCAGTCCAGTGGCTTCGAGCACACCTTGTTGCACGAAAAAGGTCCATTCTCGCCACAGCGCAGTTTTCTTTCCGTGGCCCCACAGTAGCATGTTTCTGTCTTTAGCACCATGCAGATTGGGCACGGCCCTTCATGGCAAGGGACGGTGCAATGATGGTTCCCACAGTCGAGAGACTTCCCACAAACATCGTTGCATTCAAAGCCATACACTTCACTTGAGCATCCAACAGTTTTCTCTGTCTTACCACAGTAGCAGGACTGCAGACGGACCAAGGAGCACGGAGGGCACGGCCCTGGATGACACATCAGTGTGCAGGGATGCCCACACCTTGGATCACGACGCGACCGCTCACACATCTGACCACAAGAGCCAGGCACGAGTAGGGGATCCGCACATGGCTGCTTTACCTTTCCACAGAAGCATCTGTACTCCGCCACTGTAGACGTTAAATTAATCAACTGGCAAAGAGGACAACGAAATTGAGTTGCGTCGCACGATGTCGCGCCCCAAGCAGTACTCCGTCTTTCCCGCTCTTCAGCCTGTGCCTTCACCCAGAAGCGAACACATGATAAGTGCACGATCCCATGGCATTCCGAGCAAGACCAAAGCTTATCACAAAGATGAATAAATTCTGAGCAAATCGCACACTCGTAGCAGCCCGCTTTCAGTCGTTCGGAAAGATTTCGTGCCAGTTCCGTATCCTCCTCCTCGCCCATTGAGTGGCACAACTTCGCTGCAGCCCTCAAGAAACACAGATGAAAAAAACAAAATCACCTAGAGCGAGAGAGAGGGAGAGAGAGAGAGGAGGGAAACATAAGATGAACAAAATAAAAGCGTAAAAGCAACGGGTCACAAGGTAAAAAAAAAAATCACATGCATTAAAACAAGAACAATATCCAAAGAGAAGCATACATGCGCTCACCAATGAGAGCGACTCAGTGTTCGTTACGATCCTCCAAGGTATGCTCCAAGATCCCGCTTCACATCGGGGTTGTTGAGCATTTCGTAGTAATTTGAGCATTCGGCGTTTCGAAGTGCAGGCGTACAAAAAGGCGCGACAAGTCTCCTCCGTGACACGTCCTTCACCGTCCAGTAGCACCAAGACGCTGCGCTGGATAACCTCTCAGCCATGTCCAACGCCGGTATAAGGACCTCATCTGCATTCTCCACAATCTCATCTACAAGTCCCATCGTTTTTGCGGTCGGGGCATCCACAAGCTCCCCAAGCTGCAGCAGCGCCTCACACCTTCTGTGACCCACAACGTATGACGTGAGGGCAGCAAACGATGGTGGAACTGTCAATCCACACTTGGTGGCGTTAATGCCAATTTTAAATGGTCTTTCCTGCTCCTCCGCTCTTGCAGCCATGATTCTGTAGTCTGATGCCAAAGCGATGATGCAGCCAGCACCGATTGCATCTCCATTTATAGCCGAAACAAGCGGAACTGGAAGAGTGTTAAGGGTAACATACAGTTTTTGAAGCTGACTCCAATAATGCGTGAAGATTTCATATTCCAAGCTTGCGTGCAGCAGCTTCAGGTCCAGACCAGCACTAAAGGCACCAACAAGTGCAGAGGTCAAAACAACACCGCGGCAACTCTCCTTGTCAGGGGTGCACAGCTCGCTAATTACGTCCAATAGGTCGTTCATAAGGGATGAAGAAAGAACGTTCTTCGCGGGGTTTTTCATGGCAAGGATCTTAATGTCTTTCACCGGGGACTCCGTCACCTCAACCAGCCGTCTTGGCTGCACAACTCCCGTCCCTCCCGTGCCAAACTCTCGTCTGACCACCATTCTGGGAAGCCACCGTCCATGTCTACCTGGTCGCATAGCAGGCTATATATATATATATATATAGCAAACACTAGCACAAATGATTCAAATACAAGAACAAAAAAAAGAAAGTAGCGCGTGGCAGAAATCAAAAACAAATCCCAAGCTGGCATGTCTCTCACATCAATGTAAGATGTTCGCCTTGTTTTTGTTGTGGTGTATCTTCTGTTTCGTTTGCTTGAGTCGTTCGTGAGTGCGACGGCCGCACCTCAGAGTGCGGAGCAGAGTGTGCGTCTAGGCACTCCAATTCACGCCAAACCCCCCTCGGCCATAAATGCGCGGTATGCCAGCCGGCAAGTGTTTGTAGTGTGAAGGTGTGTGCGGGCGATTACGTTCAGGTTTATGTATAGCGCCACTTATTAGATCCCGGGTGGCAGGGCAGAGAGTAGCCAAAAAAAAAACGAGACAAGATGCTGCTGAGTGCCAGCGTACGTGGATTCCTCAAAAACAAAAGCGATAGACAAGAACAAGTAAAATCCTTTTTCTCTTTTCTTTTCAACAAACAAAAAAAAAAAAAGGTTGGCGCCCTCCACAACCGAAGAACTTCACCTGTATAAATGTCTGTATCGAGAGCTCTATGTGGAAAAAAAATATTTAAAAAGTGTGTACTCAAAACCGCCCACGGACACGCACGCAGGAAGGAAGTGGGACAATAATAATAATAATAATAATATGCATGCTCAGTTAGAATTTGCGTGGGGGCGGAACTGCGCTACCCGGATTTGGCATGCGAGGCGCCTTCCCTCGTGTCGGAAGCGGTGCAGCTCTCGATGCGTCTCCTACACGAGCCCTCTTGCGCAGCCTGTCATCATCATCGTCTGATGTATACCCGCGTTTACGGTCCTGCGCCTCCGCGCGCCGCTCCATCTCGTCCCAACTCACCGCGCTTTCTTCATCCTCATCATCGCTGTTATCGGGCTCACTTTCCTCGTCCTCAAGGAAGGAGCTGCCTGTCTCGTCCGACTCCTCATCGTCTTCCTCGTTGTACGTTGAGTCATCCGACTCCGAATCCTCCTCGTCCTCCTCTTCCTCGTCGCCGTCAAAGTCGTTGTTGAGTACCGCCCACCCTGAACCGGGTCGCCACGGATCCCAGTCTGTATCGTCGAGGATCGTCTTGAGTACAACCTTCCAGTTGGGATTCACAGAGGTCTCCATGTAGTACAGCCGCGATGCGAGACACCAGTCCTTAATCACCTCCAAACTGCTTCTCGGGATGGTCGTAATCGTCACCGCCGGTTTTTTGTAATCCTTAAAAATAAGCGACATGTCAAACGTAGATCCACCCGGTATGACGCGTTCCAGCGACACCACCTCGATATCCGTCACCCGCTGCGTGAACGGTGGCCTATCGGAGATCGCCCAGAGGACCTCCCTGTTAGCCTTGAAGGTGGTCAATCCCTTGGCATGCACGCCCTCAAAAGAAAAGTTACTCACAGGTATTTGTGTCTTTATGTTACTCATCTTCTCAACCGCCTGTGCAAACCGCATAAATTGTTTATTAGTCTCACTGATACGCACTTGTTCACGCTCTTCCGCCGCAATTTCCTCATCGTATGATTTCCTTGCACCTGTAACGGCTTCGCTGCTTTCCATGACGTCCGCCACAAACTGCACTTCATCGACGCTTTTACGAGCAATCTCCACGCCCTTTTTTAAAGTAATGTGGTAAATAACGCGGATGGAATTGACGGCCGGCTGAAAGATGATGTGTTTGATGTTCTCAAACAACATGTCAATTGGTGCCCCACCAATGAATGAGAAACGAAGTCCGTTCTGATGCAGCTCAAGATTACCAATGCATTCCTTGTTTTGGCGGCCAGTTGTGGCTGACGGTCTTATTTTGACCTGCGGAAGCCGTAGTGAGTTTGGTGTGATGTTTAGTTTTGCACCTCCCGCAGTTGTAGATATCCTCCGTCGTTCCGTGTCTCTGTTTTTGATCCGCTGGTGAATTCCCTGAATGGCAATCTTCAACTCCGAGAAGACATCCTGCGGGGCGCGGTAACTCAGCTCCTTTAAAAATATCTTTGTTCGGTGAAGCCGATACGCAATATTTGCCTCCTGCATGGAATGAAACGTGACGGTGCACGTCACATATTCGCCCTCCGGCTTCACGTCCACTTTGTTGATGGTGGAGGCGTGGAATGCCGCAACATCCCCACACACAGGAAGGAACACAACCTCCTTCTCCACGTGCACGTAGATGTCATGCCGTGCCTGCGGTGGGAAGGAGCCTTCCTTGGGATACGGAACAATATCCCCGTAGGCAAGGCGGCCCATCTCGTACACCCGCAGCTCTTCCATCGCAGCTGCTGTTGCCTTCTTTCCTCCAGCGGCAATCAGTTCAGCGTGCAACTCCCTCAAAAGCGACTTGAGTCTTTCATCGCGTGCAGCTTCCCTTGACATGAGAGGGACGCTGCTCTGCCCTTGACGAGTAATCTTGTTCAACTCACGTGTAGTGACATTAAAGGCCTCCTCCTGCACCTCCGCATCGTAGAGAATTTCTTCCAGCTTGCGGGATGTCTTTGTGTTGAGCTGCGCCGCACTGTCCTTGATGCTGACGGTGTCGGACAACTCCATATCAAAACTATCCCCGCTGCCATCCGGCACTCCCTCAAGCGTCACTCGAACAACAAACGTCATCCCGTCGGCGACGGTCACAGTGCCCTTTCCAGAAATAGTTCCTCGAGCCTCAAGCACCATAAGACCCGTGGAGAAACCCAGGGAGGTTGGTAAATGCTTTGCCAGGGCTTCGTCGGTGGCCGTGGCGTAGTTCATGACAGCCGTGTACACCTCGTTTAGTTTAGTGCCCACTCGCAGCAGCTCCATCACCTTTTCGCTGACAGAATAGATAAACTGATATGCATCCTTCGCATTAGGCGGCGCATTAGCCTCCACGATGAGGGTGCGAGCAATAAAGGCAGTGTAGCCGCAGTTCTTCACACCGTAGCGGACAACAATAATGTCGCCTCGTAACGGTTGAGTGGTCAGCTTCGTAAGCTGAATTTGAGGTTCGTATGTCCCACGGTGCATGACACATGGTGTCAGTCCAGAGGCAATGGAAAACTGGGAGGTGTCTAGCCGTTCAAGACCCTTCACGGTGCTTGGCATCTGTAACTTATTTGTGACCTCTTCCTGGAGAGAACTTAACGCCTTGGGGTTTGCCTTTTGTATTTCCTCCTCAATCAGCCCACGAACAAACCGACGGAAGACGGCGCTGCAGAGGCCCGCCGCCTTCTCCACGCATGACAGCGCCGCCTCATCCTTGACAAAAAGGAACTCGCCCAACAATGGCGCCACCTCCACTGTCCGCTCCGCGGGAATGAGGCTGCGAAGCACCGGGATTAGCTTAGACGCAAACTCCCCCTCTTGAATAGCCAACTCCTTCTGGCAGAGACCCACAGCGGCACTTGCGAGGAAGGACGAAAAGACGTCAGCAAAAGTCTCATCATACCGAACAGCCGTGTACGCGTAGGAGTCAGTGGTTGGCGGCAGCTCAACGGGCACGCCGTTGTGGACGACACAAAGTTTCTCAAAGGAAAAAAACACTGCGACGTCGCACACCATCGTGGGTGAATTGAAAAGATACTGCAGAACAGCCTGACTGCGCTGGTTCTCAAGCGTCGACGGTGTGAGCGCGCCAAAAATGCAGCCCACCACCTCAAACCTCTCCGTTGTGGGCTGAGCCTTTCTCCATGAAGAGAGAATGCCTGCCAAACGGGCCTCAGATAAATTTAGCGCCGACATTAACTTTCTGGAAACACAGACACACACACACACACACACACACACACACAACTTAAAAAACAAAGACCAAAAAATTCTTACAGAAGCACAAGAAATAAAAAAGCACAAGGATGAGGCCACGTGTCATCGTGCACCACGCAGATAAGCGTGAAAGTAATAACAATGCATCCCCTCCATTAAGGTCCACCACGGCGTGCCTGCATGTATCTTTGTATGTAAGTATGTACGTATGTATCAAATGCTTTTTTTTTCATTTCTTTTTCTTTTTGGTGCGTGCTTCTCAATTTCGCTCTCTCTTCTCAGTGTCACCGAACAATCAGAAATGTCGACCATCCCTACTTGACACGTTTGTATTTCAAAATCTTCGCACGGCGCGCCTCCTCCTGCTTCTCATGCGCCCTAGTACGCAGACTCATGAGTTTTACCTTTCTTGCCTTCTGCAGGTTCTGTCTGTACTTTTTACGCGCCTCGAAGTACTTCTTCATGTCGTAGACCTTCTTCTTTGGCGCCGCCGTTGTCGGCTTGGCACTCTTGGCGTCCTCCACATCCGCCTGGGAGACCAACTGAGTCGCCGCAAACTCGTCCCGGAAATACATGTATAGCGGGGGGCTCATCAACTGACACTCATCCGTAGACAACTTTGACAGGTCTTCCTCCTCAGCAGGAATGAAGGTTGGAAACGCGGGAAGCCCACGGTGCTCGTTCCACAGCGTGTAGCCCTTTGTATTAATCGTGTCGCTGAACTTTACGTAGGTGCCGACGTCTGCATCAAGGAGCGTTGGAAGGTAGATAAGCGCGTTTTTATAATCGATACGCCACACAGGTACACCGTGGTAGGTCTCAGCGGAAGCCCCTGTTTGGCCTGACATGCGGTGGCCCGGATAGATGCGCTTCTGCCCCTCCGCCCCCATACACCCTGGACGACGCTGCCATTTGGAATCGCCTAGCCAAACGTAGCCACCGTCAAAACCGTGACGAAACATCACGCCCCGAAAGCCGTAATCTGTGTTTTGAAACGTGATATTGACTTCCTGGCCCGGTTTGAAGTGGCGGACATCCAACTTTGTGCCCACAGGTGCGTAGGCGTCGGGGGTGATTGAAAACCCCGCACAAACATGTTTCACAGGCACACCAGCCGCCTTATAAAAGGCCGTCACATGTGGTTTGTGAAACTCCACAGGTACGTTCATTGCCCCAACGTATACCTTGTCTGTCCCTACGTCCCCGTTTCGTGTGCCGTGCCTGACAATCTGGTTGTCAGGAAACCAAAATGCGGTGCAGTCAAACTGGTTACCCAGCTCGTCGTAGTCCTTGCAAGTAAAAGCCTTTACGCCAATCATTCCAAACCGTACCGAATAAAACATGTTAAACTCGCCAAATGGTGGGGGATTGTCCCAAGCCCGGGTGTCTTGGTACAACTCGGGAAACTTCTCACGAAGGCGTATAAATGCATCATACTTGTCTTCTCGAATAGCGTCATACATCGTCTGCAGCTGCTCGGGCTGCCACCTTCGAGGGTTATCGGGGATTTTAGGATAGAGACTCATTTTGTCCCCGTGGTCAAACAGGTATGGGTAGTAGCAGTGATACATGTCCCTCTCCTTCTCCTCCATGAGCGACGGATAGCAGCGGTACCAATCAGTGCGGATGCGTCTATCGCCCGGACCCCCTCCACTTCGCATGCGGCACTGCACGCACAACGCAGCGGTCACCACATTGTGTGCACCACCGCGCGACAACTGCATAGCAAGGCGCATACTACAACCCCCACACTAAGCATACAAGCCAATAAGGAAAACAAAATCACGGTCATATATGTATGTACGCGTTCAGAATAAAAACAAAAGGAAAATAACCGTATACAATTATTCAACTCATATATATATCGAGAAATCTTGCGTCGCTGTCTTTGCGTATCATTTCCCTCAAGATGTATACAGCGGGAGAGAAGCGAGATCGCCTCCCTTGGTAGACTTGTGTACAGCGTCATACTCTCGTGTGATTTCAAAAAGGCGATTTTCAATAGCAGACCTAAACGAGTGTTGTGGTTCCATAAGCGTAAACAAGGAACGTATGGTGGAGAGATCCCGCATCGTCCTGGTGTTATTTACCGCCGCCTCCGGCATGTCAGCCCGGAGCTGCTGCACCTCAAACGGTGCGTGTTTGTACCATCGATGAGGGAAACCGCGCCAACTTGCTCGCTCCAGAGGCTTTCGATATTTGTGAACACCATCCGAGCGATGATCTCTGTAGCCCTTCCCAGAAGTTTCAATTATGCGGTCCATAACTGGTTTGGTGAGCAGCAGCAGGAGCTTCTCCCCAAACTGAAGAAACAGCTGCGTCGCCTCCTCGTACTCTTGCCTTGTTCTGTAGCAGTTCCTGCGATGAAGACTTTTCAAGCCGTGTCCGTGCAGCAGACGCCGTTTGTTCTCAGTAACCGGCTCGCGAAACCTGCGGGCACCGCGCTTCTGAAAGAGATCTTTTGTCTCGTCCGGGTCAACCTTCTGCAGGTGACTAATCATCGCAAAGCAGAGGTCATGGATCTCCTGTGAGGCCGCCTCAAGTTCGTCAAACTCGCCAGTAAACGTGTCATCTGCAAATGGCGATGTGGTGGCACTTAACGCGGCACCATCGCTGAAAGTGTCATCAGCCCGCAGGTCGGCTGCAACTATCTCCCGCTGTGAGAGACAACGACACGGTGTCCGAACCGCCGTGGGTTTTGCGACACCCACGCCAAACGCAATGGCACGTCTACCGAAAAGCCTAAGCGCTCGCATTATTCCTTGACAGATGCTGCTCTTCTGCACGAAAAAACAGATGTAAGAAGACGACGTGAAAGCACATACAAAACGTGCCCTCCTCCGCCCAGTCCGGGCTACATGAATGCACGCATACACAGAAAGAAAGAGGGATAAATCTGGCGCGGCAAACAGAGAAAAAAGGGCACACCAAACTCCAAACCCATCACCTCCACGACGTCACAAGCAGTGAGGCACCTTCAGAAGGCGCGCAACGATTCGGCCTTCCTCCACCTGAGCAGCCACATCCACAAATGGAGATTCTGGCGCTTTCTCAATTTGAGTCATTCCGACAGCTGCCAGATCCTGGAAAACGTTCTCACGCGCAACAAAGTCGAGAAAAAGACCTCTCTTCGAAGCACCTGGGGCAAAGAAACAACGCAGAGATTTTCGCTTCTCCGTCTCGGCGGCCAATACCTTCAACTCCTGCACCGTACCACACTCAACGCAGAAACAAGGAGCTGCGCCAGGAAAAGCAAGGTGTTTGGGCGCAAGGGACTGCAAGAGTGGTGAGGGCTCTGCAATGGCATCAAACGGGTGCGGCATTTTCCCATTATTTCTAAAACGAAATACCGCGGTGCTTTCCCCGGAATGCAGGGAAGTGCAGAGAGCATTCAAAAAAGGCAACGCCCTGCCACTGAAAGAACTTCCCCACATTTTGGAGGCATTCACAAAACCAAATCGACGTAAAACATGGACTCTAAGTTTGTGTCGGAACCGATGCACCGCCCGCTGAGACGCAGTCTGAGCGTATTGGATCGACTCCATCACCCCAAGCATGCCGGAAAGAGCGTCACAGGCGGCAAGAATATTGGAGACATAAAAAGATGAATCCAATCCCACACCTGGCACCCAAGCCGTACTGAGATCGGGACAACGCGGTCCCCTCTCCGTGACATCATCATTTTCGTCATCACCACCACTAAATAGAGGAGCAGCGGCCTCACCACAGAGTACACCATCCAAGACGGCGTTGTCCACCAGACCTACCTCGCCGCGAGAGGAAACCGCCGCGTCTGCATCGCTTGGTTTATCAAAAGAGACGTGTTGCTGCAGAAGGGCAGCCTCACACGCGTCCAGGTAGTTCTCCATAGCAGAGAGTGCAAGAACCGCGGCACGGATGCCCTCGTCTCTGGCATAGGGCGTAGGTGCCACAAGGCAAAGTGTCACAACCCTTGGGAACCACATCCACGTCTTGTCCACTTCTGTTAAATCATTAAGAAGGTTGCGTATGGCGTTAGTTAATGCGGTGGATATAGATGGAGCAGGTGGGGAAGGCACTCTCCCATATACAACGACATCCAGCGCATCCTGCACAAGCTGCTGATACACTTGACAGATCGCATCGTCACTCTTTATGGAGCATAGTGCTACACCAAATGTCTCCGCATGGGAACGAAATTCCATAAACTCGGGCGGCTGCAACGCTAATACACAGCCAAAGGAACGGCAGAGAGTCGGATACATGGCGCTGTTACCGCCCCGCTCTCCTAAAGATGCGACGCAGCTGCTGATTGACGGTAGAAAAAGCTCTCGATTCACGTTTTTTGTTGAGGAAAGAAGTGACAAGGATAACAGATGCGCCCTATCGACACTTCTTTCCATGCAAGACACGTTCTTCTCCGCGAACCGCACGTGCCTAAAGACGTAGGACTGCATTCGTTCAGTGGTCCACTTTTCAGCCTCAATGAAAAGGCTTTCCTGCCTGTTCCATGCAGTCATCGAGTTCAGCTGAGCCGTGATGCCACGCTCCTTCAGTGCCCATAAGGACCCCGAAGACGCACACCAACGCTCCTCCATCGCCGAAATAACGGCAGCGTAATGAGAAAACTCAAACTCGTCTAGAAACCACCCCATGCACGGTCGCCCGTCGGGCATCAGCACAACGTCACATATCAAGTCTGTCGCAGCCTCCGCAGCTGCATTGAGTGGCACGCGCTCGCTCACCGCAGCATCCGCCACGCGATTCATCGCGCACACCACGGACGACGTTGGGTGCATTTCTATGCCGTAGCGAATGTACTCGACGCACTGAACGAAAAAGTCACGTTCCCGGTCGCTAAGCACCGCCACATTGGCCCAGTATGAGGGAAATATTTTTGTCGGTGACTTCTGCGCGTGTGGCGCTTTCCTCGGCCAGCCGTGCGCAAAGCGAAGAAGATAAGGGCAGACTGCGGACCTCCACTCGGGAACAGCATCCACGTGCCACCTGCGCCATACCGACATGAAACACCTCCCACACCCCCGCCTCCCTCTCTCCGTTTTTTGCTCCTTCTTCACTCTCGTCTATTTCCTCCACACACACGCACTAGAGACAAGAGAGAAAAAAAAACGCTCAAAGTGTTTCATAGATGCCCACAGCATCCCTGTCAAGGCAAAAGAGAAAAAAAAAGCTAAGCAGGCGCAAAGCGCCTCTCATCATTTCCCTCTGCGCCAGGCAGTCGGCAGTGCCGTCCAACAAAGAAGCAGCCAAAACAACAAAAAAAAAAAAACAGACTCTTATAGTAAAACAAGTACACACAAACGGACTGGCCAAAGCGCAAAATAACATCAGGGTCAAAGCGGCCCATTTCAATCAGACTTCGCACTGTTATGCTTCGCTGGTCCCATAAGTCGGATGCTCGTAAAAAATTTCACATCGTCGTCAGTAACCTTTTCCCGTGCCTCCTGGTGAGTTTTCACAATGCCGCTTATAATTTCTATCAGCTTCTTCTTAACCTCCCCCGTCATTATGCGTCCAAGCATGTAATCCTTGCGGATCCGTGCAAGTTCCTCATCATCTTCCATAAAGAAATTCATCCACTGGATGGGAACATCCACGTCCGTGTTAGCCCCGAGAACAAATTGTTCCTCCTTCGTTGCCCCACCCCCGCTAAAGGCATGTTTGTTAATTTTATCCTTCACCACCTTCTGCGTGTCCGTGAGAACCACCGCCGCTCCCGTAGAAGAACTCATCTTTCCCTTAGATCCGCTGAGGCCTGGAAAAAACTTTGAGTGAATTACGGCCGGCTTTAAAAAACCAAGACGCGGGGCAATGTCTCGTGTGAGGCGAAAGTACGGATCCTGATCAATGGCCTGCGGAATCAGACAGAACACATTTCCCTTTGACGGTGGGAAAATGTGCGGAAACGCTGACGAAAAAGACGGAGCCGCTTGAATCGCCGGGAACATCCAACGGCCGCAGTTGTCTTCCATTTTAAACCCAAAACATCCTCGGACCTGACTCGCCGTGAAGGTCCGCTCAATTTGCGCCACGGTGCGGTACATGTGGCCCATGTAGTCAAAGTTTCGAAATATGAACGTCAACTCCGGATCAAAGCCCATTGCTATAATATCCTTGATGTTCTCTGTTGTCATGACATCAATCTGGGTAATATCAATGTTTCGGAAAAAAAATTTTTCATCGTCAGTTAGTTGAATGACAAGCGGCACCTTAAACGCGTCCTGCAACCATTTGGTGAACATAAATGGTATTAAGTGGCCCATGTGCATCGATTCGCTACTTGGGCCTCGCCCCGTGTAAAGGTAAAACGGCTGCCCCGCCTCGTACACGTCAAGTAGAAGATTCATGTCACGGTGGGAGAAAAATATGCCGCGACGGAGGAAGTGATGCGGCTTCTTCCCAAGGACACGTTCCAGTCGCTCAAGCAACGCGGCGTCGATGGGGTAGCTCCCAAACTCCTTGATGAGCTTGTCGTAATCCACATCGCCCTCCACCGTCCAAGGCGTCACCACCGCAGTCGTCATTTCAACGTTTTGTTCTTCCTCCTCCTCGTGTGTGCGTATCTATGTAGTTGGTCTCCTCCTTCCTTCTTTTAATCGCTCAAGCTGGTTGCTTTCGCTTTTAATATTTTCTTCTGACGTTCCTCAAAACACGTGCCCTTTAATTTCTTCACGCGCCCCGACAAACAGAAGTACCAGAAGCCGAGAGAAGCAAGAAAAAAAAAAAGCGAGGAAAACAAAAACAAAAGCAGTCGCAAGCGACAAACCGTAGTCACGCGCAGGTGCAGCATCGCGCATTCACCACTCATTTGCAACTACCTCCATAACTCTACAGAAAGATGTGTAATTCAGTGGAATAATACCGTAAAAAACACTATAAACGCCAGCACAAAAGCAAAAAGAAGCAGGAATTTGTTGCGCTTGGGAGTCTCCTGATACTGCTGGGCTTGCCGCAAATGCTGCGCTGCGTTTCTTGTGGCCTGTTGAGCCATGCCAACGTTTCCCTCAATGACATCCAGAGAGTCTCCCTGTTCTTCCACCATGAGATGAATGTGGTTAAATATCTCGTTAATGTCCTTTACATTGTCGGCAATCTCTAAGGTCTCCCGTCGCCGCTCCGCCATGATATCGTCGTGCAGGTCGCGCTCAAAGATTTCCTTCTGCGTGAGTGCGCCCGCCGCACCCTTTTGAAGCAGGTCACTAGTCTCATCTGCTTCGTCGGCATCGCTGCTCACCTGGCTTCCCGGCAACACCTTCACATGCGTCGTCCCCTGTGAGGATCGCAGGGATTGCTCGACGCTAATACATTTTTTGTAGAACGCGTCACATGAATTCTGGTATCTCTCCATGGCGACCTTTGCCTCCGTGGTGAGCTTGACGCCCTGCCCCCGCAGCTGGGCGGGGTTAAGCCGCATGTACTTTTCCATGAGCCCCAATGCATCCTGTATGCTGTGCACCTCCTTGGCATTCGTGCTGCCTGTTACCTGCTTCACCCGCTCCCGCTCCCTTGCAATGTCCCGCAGCGTTGTGAGTTTGTTCGTGCTCCGCCGTATCTGCGACGTGCTGCGATCCAGCGACTGAAGTGCATCTGTGAGGAGGTCACAGTTCCGTCGCCAGCTGGGATCCTCCATTTGTTCCTTTTGTTTCTCTCAATCTCTGCGGCACAAACTCTCTCCCTTACACACACACACACACACGTAAGAAAAAAACCGTGCCTAGGTTGCCTCTTCAAGAAAAAAAACACACACAACACACCTCAAAGGAACAAGCAAAAATATTCGATGGGATTGGCAGCCCCGACGGGCCAAAGCAGAGGCGCCTCAGCTGAGCACTCCGTACGCACACCACCGCAATGGAAAAGCTAAAATGAAAATGCAATAAAGATGTACATTCAACACAATCCTCGCTTCCTTGCCACCTTTCATTACTCCTGCTCACGCAGCCCCTTTGCTTCTACCTTGTGCTGCCGCCCTTCGTTTATCCTCTCTACTGTCCTCCCTTCGAATAGTGGGAGAACAAAAGAGAAGTAAGTGTCCATCAACCACGCAGAGTGTTTGCACGGTAAAACGTAAGCGACCCACCGCTGTCCACAAAAACCAGAAAAACCTCCGTGCAGCCTCTCCCCCGTAGTGCGTCCACCACCTCCACGACAGTCCTTAGGCACGCCGACGTGAACTCGTTTTGCTCAACCACCGGGTACGGCACAAAACCCTTGGCGCCGCCCGCAAAGCTGCATGTCACAACACGCCAGGAGCCAACTGACTCAAGAACCGACTCGTGCAGCGGGAAACGCTCATGAATATCCTCCAAAAGAAGGGCGCATATTTCCTCATCGTTGATCATTCATGTGGTGTTCCTTCGGAGTTCAGGGGGAGAGGGGGGTGAAGATGCAAAAGTCACACACGAAATGAGGAACGCGTTAATCATCCCCATCCTCCGCTCCTCTCACAGTTGCTTGGATAGGCCTTTCTAGCACTCACTCGCTCTTTCCCTTCCTCTCTCAAGTTCTTTGGGTGCTTTTGTGTGTCCTTTGTTTCGTTTTTTTTTTCTTTTCTTTTTTTTTTTACTATTTTCTCTTGGTTTTCAAAGCGCCTGCGCGTTCATTGCAAGAACACCGCCGTGTCCCTCCCCACATACGCCACCCACGCAGAAAAACAATCTACTTCATCTGGGAAAGCTGCTCGACACGCTTGTTGTACGCATCCAGGTAGAGCTTTGCAATGTCGTCAATCGGCTCGTGAACGCCTACCCCACGCAACGCGGAGCACTTGTAGAACTTCATCTGATTGGCGTGTGCAAAGGCCTTGCCCTGGCGCTCCGTCACCTCCGCCTTGTCTGCAAGATCCATCTTGTTTGCTATGAGGAATCCAATCATGTCGTTGTTTACGTGCTTTATCGCTTTTATCCACCGCGCGCAGGCCTCGAATGTCAGTTTATTCGAGACGTCGTACATGAGAATAAAGGCGGCAGCGTGCTCCACGTAGGTGGGCATCATTGTTTCATACTCCTTTTGCCCCGCGACGTCGAAGATGAGCAGTTCCACCGTGTTCTCGTCGTCCACCTGCAACTCCTTCACAATAAAGTCACAGCCCATTGTCATGAGGTAGTTCTTGGGAAAGGTCACACCGTTGCTGTGGATCATCTGCACAAACGCCGACTTGCCGACGGTTGCAGCGCCAACAACGGCTATTTGAAGGCGTAGATACGCCATGTACGAGTCGGCGGTGGAACTTGGGAGTAGGGGGGAGGGGCAAAGAAAGGAAGAGAAGGATGAAGAAAACATGAAGTCACACACCCACACACAAAAAAAAAAGAGGAATAGAGTCCATTCCCGTCGATCCACCACAGCACAGTCGACAGATCTCAGCGTCGGAGGTGAAAAAAATCAAAGACGGGGCAAAAACATACACATCGATTGTTGTTGCGGGACCAAAACAGCAGCAACACAGGCAGTAAAAACCGGAAAAAGAAAAGCGAATAAAAATAAAAATAATGATGGAAAAAAACACTAAAAGACGAGAAGAGAGAAATTCAGAGCGAAAATCCCAATAGGGAGCGCATCGCACTCTCGTCACTGCTGTGGGCGTGGGTGGCGCGAACAGCTGCCCGCTCCAAGTCAGTCGTCTGGATAAGCGTGGATGGCAGTCGCCAGAGTCGCACGCAGCCCCGCGTATCTCCCGTGACCAGCCACTCAGGGGAAGTGTGATTGAATGCCAAACACAACACCGGCGCGCCATCAACGCCGGCCTCTATTGAGGCTATCGGCTTCAACTGCGACATTTGAAGATCATAAAAGTGCAGAAATGAACTCCGCGACACCACCGCAAGAATGCTTGGACGGAAGGGGCTGAACTGCGCCGCGTAGAGGAAATGTTTCGTTTCTGGCGAGGGCTCAAGGGTCGCCAGTGGAGAGCGCTCCAGGGTGTTATACAAATGAACACTGCCGTCGGAAGAGCAAGTGAGGCACAAATTGTGGAAGAACGGTGAGGTATCTACGCTCTGCACCGGTCCCCTGTGGCCGTTCAGCCAATCCACCTCCAACGTCACCAGTGCGTCGGTGCTGCGTAGGGACAATGCACTCACAACGCCTGGACGAGCGCGGCCGACGTCTCCGTTCTCGAGGCCAATGATGAGCAAACCGTCGCCCGACGGAACACTCGCCCCACCGCCCCCGGCAGGGCGTGCAAATCTGAGGGACTGTACACCGACAGTAACGCCGTTTTTACTTTCCACGGAAAACGCGGCAAGTGGTTGCGTCAATTTATTTGTCGGGGTCCAGAAGTAAATACATCCGTCTTGCGCGGAAGAACAGAGAATAAATCGGTGTGATTCCCGCATTTCCTGTAGGCTTTGCATCCACTGCAACGAGGAGACCGGCTCCTTGTGCGAAAGTGGCGACCCAGCTGTCGACATCTTGGTCGGGAGTGCACTTGTCACGTCGGAGTACATAACCACCTCGCCGCTGTACATCCCCACTGCAAGCACAGATGCCTGCGTTGGATGAAACGCGACACAAGTGACAAATGAATCCATCTCTAGTGTGTGACGCGGCGCATTCACATCTATGTCCGGACGCGCCAAATTCCAGATGCTGACAACGCCACTACTGTGGCACCAGCCCGCTGTGTCCACCCGGCCGTATGCCACCGCAAGCAGAATTCCACTCGAATTCCAGCTAAGCGCGAGCACATGCAGCTCCCCCTCTACAGCATACGGTGAGGAAAGCGTAGCCACTGAGGCAATGTCGGTGCTTTTGGTCGAGCAGTTGGGCTCATAGTTGTTGAATGCGCCACTCTTTGCGTTGCGGTACAACATTGAGAGCACATCACTTTTGGAGTCTTCCAAGAAGGTGGCCAGCCTCCCCTCGTCAACCTCCACCCCCGCGTAGACGTACTGCAGGCCATCTAACGTGGTCTGAATCTTTTTCTGCTCATGACCCACTTGTTTGTCGAACCGATTGATCACTTGTAGCGCACTGATGGTCGTCTGCACCTCCGCCTCACACACGCTAAGCGGAGCTGTCTGGCAGGTTGCGTCAATACATTCGGTAACTTTGCGCCACGTTGACGGCACAACTACCTCGCCGGTGATCGTGTCGCTAAAATTGCACGGAGCCGACATCCTGCCTCTGCGTCCCCTGTTCCTTCTGTTGCTGTTGTCCGCTCCTCCTCCTCCTATTACTCTGCCACGTAAATGCGGCGTGAGAGAAACAATGAAATAAATGAAAAAAAAAAGGCATGAGATGCCTGCATTCCCTAAGCAAAATTCACACCGTCCAAAAGACTCAGCACCGCGGAGAGAGGGAACAACAAGACGCGTCAAGAGGGGGGGAAAAAAAAACCGCAGCTAGCCAATGGATAAAGGCACTTCTGCAACAGCCCTGTTTTGCTTGGGTTTTTTTTGCTTGCGGAGCTCCGTCGTATCACTTCTAGCATGCAGCGTGCGGCAAAAAGAGAGGAAGGGCGGGGAACGGAATAAAATAAAGGGATGGGAATAAAACAAGTAAAACAAGACACAGCAGCCATCGGCTCAATTCCACAAACTAAAGAAGCAAGTCAGTCTCTTCTCTAAATACTGCCAGGCACCGAAGAATGCTATGACATACGCACCAAGTCAGCAATTTTGGCTGCACTCAAGTAAAGGGAAAGGGAGAGCAAAACCGAGTGAAATGAGATTCGCATTCGTAGATATTTTTCGTAAAAAAAAAAAAACTGCCAAACCAACGATGGTTCGTGGCCGCATACATGGAGAGCAGGCAATTATCAAATCATGCAATTCAACCCCAAAAGTACGCACGCATATATCCATATATATATCCATCTATATATATATATATATATATATATCCCTCTCTCCATGTGGTAACAATTTTGTCTCCATGCGCCTTTCGTATCCACTCCAAAAAAAAAAAAAAAGTACTCTTGCACTTTTGTGGGGTCTCCGTGCCACCACCACCACCACCACCACCACCTCCTCCTCCCCCTGCCCCCTTCACCGCACCGCGCACTACCCATTTTTTTTTATTTATTTCCTTCTGTTTTTCTTCTCTCTTTCCGTTTGGTGCTTTAGTTATTTTAACTCTCTATCTCCATTATTCATTATCTTCACCAGACGCATCCGTCATGGCGATGAGGCAGCACTCCATATCCGTCACCGCCTTCAAGACAAGCGCGTAGTCCTCAGGCCGTGAAAGGAACACGTTTTGTTTTTCGCACACCGACAACTTATTCCGTGCGGTCGCGCTAAGTAAGATGATAGCATCCCTGACCTCGCTATTGCCGCTCATAACGGAGATAACCTCCTTCATGTATACGCCTGGGGGTGTGATCCCCATCGGCGAAAGCGCCGCCCGCAGCACAGTGATAAGCGTGTCAGTTTCAGGCGCCTGTTCAATGGCTACTCTGCACTGTCGTAAAGTTTCTATTGCCGTTTCATAGGCGTTCAGCAGCGACGTCTCGAGCTTGCAGACATCAATAGCACTCGTCGTTGAGGGAAAGGCACGATCCAACTCATAGACACTTATAGACATGCGTTGGTTCATCACGTCACCCACCATCGCTCCGGTGGATTCTGCCTTTGAGTGGACGTACAAAATACTCTCAAACTTCTGGAGGTGCCTGGACTCGTCAAAGCCGTCGGGAGGCGCTGGATCACTCTTCACAAGGCTTGCATGCACCTCACAGACGGTGACCCAGCAACGGTTCGGTGGGTGATGGTGCGCAGGCACCCGCTTCTTCTTGGAGGCAGGCTCTGGTAGCGCCGGGAGGGTATCCACGAGATCGTCTGTGAGAACGACGAGGTTCGCGTCCTCGAAGAGGGAACTGATGTACTCCTTGCTGTACTCCTCAAATTCCTTCAATGGGGTGTCGGGCGGCATCTTGTACACGCGCTTAATGGCCCGGCCGTCCGGCAACCCCTGCGATCGCTCGCCCAGCAAAGCATCCTTCTCCTGCATCTCCCGCCGCGTCTTGCGGGGCTCCTCACGCTCCATGCGGGCCCAGAGAAGAAAGTAGCAATGGTTCCGCCGTTTGCCTTCTTGAGCAATGGCTGTGCACCACGTTGTCATCGCCGTATGCACCATCGCCGCCCCTTTGTAGTCTCCGATGGCGCGCAGGTACTTGTCGACGATGGCAATGACCCCAATGGAGAGCTCGTAGTAGTAGTCCTTGTCAAGATGCTCCGCAGCCTCCTTCAGGGCCCTTACTTGCCCCTCCACAAAGAAGCAGGCCTCGTCAGGGCAGACGTGAAGCTCAGACACGATGGCGTAAATCGTGTCGACGGGAAGCAGCGTATCTACCTCCGGCAACAGGCGCACATAGTCGTGCCAAAAGACATGCGTCAAGAGAGCAAACGGCATGCGTGCCCCGCGAGAGTCTTTCCCCCTAAGATGGTAAAACATCTCTGTCACGCGGAAGCACAAGGCACAAATGAAGACAAGCACCATCCCCGCCTCCGCCATATCCCCGTTGGCTTTGTGTGCGTTGTGAAGTCTGTGGAGCCACTTGAGAACCTCCCGAAGCGCATTTTGTCGAAGGAAGTTGCGCAACACCTTAAAATAGGCAAACACTTTCGCCTCCTTAAATCGCATCGAGGCATCCACCTGCAGTCGTAAGACGTCACGAAAGAGGCTGAGCGCAGACTCAGACATGGCAGCAAACTCTTCCGAGAAGCGCGGTGGCGACAAAACGCTGCCGTGGCACACGCCCCTCACGCCATGATCCGTGTGCTGTCCCTCTCCCTTTCCCTTATTGTCCCCCTCCAGCAGGTACGTCGGTATGGAGAGGCAGCGCTGCACAGAGAGAAACAGGGGGTCGACACTGTAACGGTACTTCACACCAGAGTCGCCACCAGACTGGCTGCTGTCACACTCGTATCGCTCGTCGTAGTTCGACGAGGGTGCATTGTAATTATCCTCCTCTGCACGAGCGTTCGCTAACAACTCATCAAACTGAAACTCAATGAACCGCCCTGCCAGGTGAAGATCACGTGTCTTCGACTCCGCCACCGACACCAGTGCGTTGGCGGTAAGCGACTTCATTCGCGCGAGAGAGCAGTTCCATTTGAAGTACGACTGACTCATAAGTAAGAAGGTTCGCCCAGCAATTGACCGGACGTGCTGGCAGCAACTACTCATCAGGCGAAAGGTGAGCAGCACCATACCGCCACTCATCCGCGCTGTCCCACTGATGATCTCCGGAAACAGCGAGCAGACAACCTCAAACAAGGCGGTGGAACCAAATTGAAGAGCCACGGTGGAGTTTCCCAAGTTCAAAAGGTTCTCCAACATGACAAAAAACGGGTACACAGCTGTATTTGCCTGATCATTACGTAACGTGCGCAGGACGCAGGGAATATCCTCAAGAAATATGTTGCATATCCGCGACCCCAGCGCTGTCACAAATGTCGACATGCGGGCATCCCACTCCCGCAACTCCCTAGTTGTCTTCGTCTCTCCGTGCAAGTCTGTCTTGTCGGTACCCGCGTTGTAGCGAAAAAGGGACTGGGCCTCGGCCATAAGGGACAGAAACCCAGTGAGAGCCTTGCCGTCCTTCTCCTCCACCAACCACTGGCGGATGATGTCGCGGGAGGTGTAGTAGGTAATCCACAACATGCATACGACAAGTTGTCGCTTGTCGGCAATGGCAGTGGCGCCCTCCACCTTTTCGCATAAATGCATATACGTCTTCCACTGCAGCGACAGCGGCTTCAGTAAGGAGAAGAGTTGTGAGGCCAACCATCGAAGATTAACGGCGGGAATACGTGGGTTGTTTGCAAGACCGCAAAGGAAGGAGTACAACATTTCCGTCGCCTCCACCCTTGTGTCACGTTCCCGGTGAATCAGCAGGTGTGAGAAGGCGCCAAGCAAAATGCGGGTAAAAAAAATTGGTTTGGCGTGGGGCGATAGAGGCAGCATCAACCCCATGACATCCGGATCCTCCAGCGTTATTTTCAAAAACACACACAACCCCTCCGTATCCCCTCGTTCCTCAAAAAACTTCACAACACATTGATAGATCTTCAACAGCTGCCCACGATCGCAGTAGTTGCCAAGATTACGTACAAACAACGCCACCCGCCGCACCAAAATTCCGCCAACGGTGAAGCCATTAAGCACATCAAGCACTTGGATGCAAAGTTTTCGTACTAATATGTAGAAACTTGGATGTAACAGCTTGGTGCGTGGGGTATCGGGGTTCTCCAAAGCCAATAGATAGATGGACCGCAGTATGATATCAAACAAATACCATGAGAGATCCGTCATCTGTTTCTTGATATTCCGTTGCGGCAACGCACTACCCTTAGCGTTATTGGTGGCTTTGAAATCTTCATCAGACGTGCAGTTCACCGCTGGAGCGCCCAAAGCATTTCTCGCTTGGGCCAACAAATGCAGCCACACCTCTGCCACACCCGCATACAGAGGATACCGCTGCCCACTGTACAAGAGATTGTTTGAGAGATAATGATACAAGATTCTTGTCGCAGAAGTCTGTATGTGTTCAGGCATTTGTTGGTGCCCCTGGCGCCGTCTTGAGGCCTGTGTGGCGATGTCGTACTCCTGGGCCCTGTGTGTCATGTCAACCAAAACGTCCAGCGCCGCCGTACGACAGTCCAAACTCACGTTGGACGAAGGGGAGCTGACAAGCGCAAGGCTTAAAAATGACAAAAATGGAAAAAAGGCGAGAACCTCTGCCAGAGGCAGCTCTCGCATCAGAGCAATAAGCTTGACAAGCACCGCATCGTCTCGGGCGACTTGACCCGGCACCATTGTCCCTGAAACTGCAAACACCTCGTCGTCCTGTGCGATGCTCCTTAATGCAGGCGTCGCACCCCGCAGGACACCCGCAATAACTTCATTCGAGGCGTGGATGGACGTGCGTGTTTGCGTTGAGGCACGTAAAATAGGTAAGCCGTTGTTTAATAGCGCTGACTCTGGTGCCTCCGGAAATTTTCCAAGATATCCACCGGCAGAAATCACCACCGCCTGCTCAGCAGAGACAAACGTGAGCTTCCAATCTTGCTTCACACGCAGCACGCCATTCCGGCATATTGGGAATGCCGCGTAGCCAATTTTATACAGTCGCTGTTGACCCGCCACGGGGGGATTTTTCTTTTGGTAAGAGGCGTAGAGCGTGATGAAGATATGAAGCGTATCCGTCAAAAAGAGAGGTAACTGCACCTTGAATTCATCGTTCAATTCAAAATCGGTGCAGTTATGAACCGTCGAGCTCCAGGAAGAGGTCTCCAGCGTCTTCCCTGACAATCCACGTCCGTAGATCAATGGCAATCCCTCCTCCCCAAGAGAAACGTCTTGGTCCTTCACGCAAATCTGCATAACGTACGTGCGGTGGGTATTCGGTACCTTGCGAAGACCGCCTGTACTCAAAAACTTCACTGCATTCATGCGAAAGTAGTAGACGTTGTGATAGGCGTTGAAAAAGCCAGATGTAAGAATGGGAACGGCGCAGGGAACATACCGGTAGGTTTGCGCCCGGGCCCCAGGGATGTCAGGGTTCAAAAGACTCACCATCGTCTCGTTCTCTTCTGGAAGCGGGTCCGCGTACTGCGAAGGGAATGCCACCTCGTGCGATCCGCAGTTTGTTATCGTGAGCTCTACCGCAAAGGGAACTGCACGTAACGCATTTCTCGACCTCTCATCATTCACAAGATGGCAAAGTTGAACATCACTAACAGACTTCCGGTACAATTTGTTTACTGAAACCGCCTCTGAGCAAAAATTTTTCTGCTGGCAGCAAGGGGAAAACCCCCAGCCCAACTCCTCAAGCGTATCGGACGTCATGGCGAGCAGCTGTGTTTCCTGCTTCATTGGGACCACGTGTTGACTCTTGTACCGATCAGGCCGCGTGTAGAGGTCGACGTAGTTCTCATGGTCCTCGCTGGCAGGGCGGTAGACGTGCACGACAAGGTAAAGTGAGCTCATAAACTCCTGCGGCACAAACGTCACCACCTCGTTTCGCCGCATTAGCTCCTGACGCTTCTTGTGGGGATAAAAAATGTCAACCGCGGAGTCAAAGAAAAACGTCTCGGAGACCTTCATCCGGCTGCTACTCGTGATAGTGAAGAACGCCAAAGACAGAACTACCGGATCAACGTCACTTCCGTGAATGTCCATCATGGGCCCGCCAACTTTAGTGCATTCCACCCGTAAAGGAACACCACCAGCAAACACCTTCATAGCGGTGGCCGGTTTTCTTGTATCAATCTCGCTCACCCAAATGTTGCTTGCGGTTGCACCGCTTGTGTGGGTCGTCTGTTGTTGATGCAAGTTTTTATCACGGGCTTTGAGAAGGTTGAAGGAGCGGCCCCGTGCCCTCTCCCAAAGCTGGAGGGGGTCCCCAAACGAAAACCTGGAGAGTGCCCGCTTCACTGCCGTATTCGCCGGCCCCGAGAGGAGTTCCCGCTCCGTCATCACACACTCCGTGGGCGCATTGTGTGGAAGATCTTCGTCATCAAACGTCACTGAGAGGTCCCGAAGGAGCTCGCTCTCAAAGAAACAATAACATGTGCTCAACAAACGCTGGCTCGGATCGCCGTGCCGCTCTCGTTCCGCCACCTTCTTCTGGCGCGGAATGAAGCTGGAGATAATAAGCTGCTTGGCGCGAAAGAAGCCAAGCAGCACGTTTGCGGAGGAAAAGTCGCCGCCTATTAGCTCCCCGGGAGGGAACAAACAGCGACCAGGCTCACGTATCGTCTCATACTGATGGCACTCGATGCGTCGGCAGCGCAAGTCCTCCTCCGTAAAGCCGAGCCGATTCAACTCCTGCGATGCATATTGCTCAAATACTTCAAGTGTAGGATTTGCATCAGAAGAAAAATCCGCAACATCATCTGCCACACCAGCAAGAATGCCGTTATCGTTTTCAACCTGAGACATAGTACGACCGTTGACGCTATAACTCGTGAGTGAGGAGCTTTCGTACTCGTCGTCGGATCCATCAGCACGGAACTCCGCAGCTTCCTCTGAAAAAGACGCAGGGACTTCAACGGAGGAATTGTGCTTCAAACCCTCACTCGAAATGGGTGCTGCCGCATCCTCAATTGCTACCACTGCATCCTTCACGTCAACACTACGCTCCTCAGCCTCTCGCAGTGCACGCTCCTCAGCCTCTTTCCGTGCACGCTCTTCAGCCTCTTTCCGTGCACGCTCCTCAGCCTCTCGCATTGCACGCTCCTCAGCCTCTTTCCGTGCACGCTCCTCAGCCTCTCGCAGTGCACGCTCCTCAGCCTCTCGCAGTGCACGCTCTTCAGCCTCTTTCCGTGCACGCTCTTC